TTTGAGATATAGTATGTAAAACAGTGGCATACGTTGTTATTTTTTTCATGTTATTTGTTAGTTAAACAGTTTCTTAAATAGAAGAAACAAAACTGTCATTAATGCAATAATGTCACAATAATTTTAAACTGTTTACCAATGATAATTCATACTGTATATCATATATATACATATATGTATATATACATATATATGTATATCTGGAATGGAAACTATAATTTACCAAATGCTTATCAATATAATGACTGAAAAAAGTATAGGTGATACTCAGCACAGAGCTTAAATAGATTCATTCAAATGAATCAAATCACTTCTTACTTTAAAAGTAATTTCAATTTGAATTTTGAAGCATAAGTCATTTTAAGCATAATATGTTGCCAAAGGGAGTATGCCAAGCTTTTCTTTACATCTTATCTTGCATATAAAGCATTCTATGCACAAAGTATGTCTTTCTGCAAGATTTTTGTGTGTGTTTCTTTTTATACTTTTAAATCTTCAATTTGAATCATTTAATAGCAAAAAAAAATTACCAAATGAACTCAAAGTCATCATTTAGCAGAGTGCCACATTTGGATAATTTTGAAAGACCAGTGGAGTTGCTGTCTTCTGCAGGTAATGAGGGATCCTGGAAATTTGGATTATAACTGTTTCTTCCCATGAAAACAACAGGGAAACAGAGCAAGTCAGCCAAAATGGCTCACTAGCTGATGGATTGACTATATTTGCCCTTTTTCAGCTACAACTGTGAGTAGAGGTAAGAGAGAAAAATTTTCTCAAGTGATAAATGAAGACCAGTTGGTCAGATTCATTAACAAGAGCCAGAGTCAAGGTACTTGAAATGAAAACTCATTCATCTTTCAGAAAAAAATGAAAGTGACAGTGGTTATATAGCCATCTTTTTATTTTGGTTCTCCTTTGGGGATAAATCTTTGAAGATGTTAAAGATTCAAATATAAATTTAATAGCATTGTGGAGTTTCATTATTTTCTGTAGTAGAAATTGAGTGATGAATTCACAGGTATAGGCAATCAAGCTGCTAAGATTCTCTGAATTTTCAAGTGGTCAGTTGGTTCATTTGTTCTTTTTATTTGTTCATGAAAAATTATGTAAGATTTGTTGAATATTTGCCAAGTGTAATATAACCAATTTTCTTGTAAAAATTGATTCCACATTTACTTTGATATTTATGATTTGTAAATACTACCAAGTTTTAAGTATAAAATGCTAACCCTATTTCAATCATTCAGCATGAATTTACTGGTAAGTATTCTGATTGCCATTTCTAACAAATGCCTTTAGATACCCTGGGGGAACATGAAATAGAAATTCATTAAAGCTGAGTTTTAAGTAACAAAACTTTAAGACATGCATATTATCATATCATAAAGAAGAATGTGAATGTCTTGAATATTGAATAAAAGTGTAAAATTTTATGAGAAGCTTCTACGACTTCCAAAATATCAACCAGGTTTCTTTCTCCCAGACATGTGGCTGCCAGAGAGCCACATGTCTGACCTCCATGAAGGCTCTAAACCTGCATGGCTTCATGACTTTCTTTTCTTCTTCAAACCATTCACCTCCTCAAGGCAGATGCCAAGATGACCAGCTTACCTGCCCTGAGGATTTTTCTTTAAGATTCATATAAAATTGTAAAAGCTTCCATTTGGTTTCATTCTTAAATTATTTTATGAATGAGACTAAGAACCTTTAAGGGACTTTCTTTCTCCCCATTTCAAAAGTGTCACCTCTTGAGTCATACTCTTGGTGTAGGTAGATCATGACAGAACATTGGAATCCCCAAAGCAAAGACTCAGTCTCCCTCCATTTCTCTTGCTAACTCTAGCTTCCCAATCCCTCTTACCTCACTTTTGTTGGATTGGGTTTATAACCACTGCAACAACTACATCCTATTGTCCTTCAGACCTACCTTTATGCCAACAATTATGCAAAACTTTTTATACATATACACACATGTTAGGAGTTAGGTGCTTTTAATGTGGTCATTTTTCACATGAGAGAACAGAGGCTGAAGGGAGTAACAATTTGTGTGGTGTGACTCTGACCTTACTGTCAGTCTCCTACTTCCAGTGCTGCCTACTGTAGTCTCCACATGAATGCTTGACTCATCTGAAGCCAAGTATCTCCTCGGAAGTCCATCGCAGCACACTCAATCCACATGCAAACACCTCCCAGACTTGGAAGCAGCCTCAAAGGATGGAAGCAGGAATCCAATGCATATTTATGAATTCTTTAATTTGCAGATGGAAAATTCTAGAACACTGAACTTCTCCCATGTTCCAGTTGAATTTGGTTGCTGTTGCTGTAGGAGAGACCTGGATTATAAAACTAGGAAGAGGGGCTTTGGGGAAATGATGGGAGTGCCTTACTTCCAGGAATATATAAGGGGTTACTAAATTAAGTAAACTGTTCAATCAAATATATTCCTTATAATTTACAATACTTAAATATCACTAAACAAAATATAGAATCACCATGTTATGTGTTTATATAAGCAGATGTGAGACATAGAACAATGATAACAAAGGTAGAGTGAGGAAAGTAACACACAGTCTTGGGATCAATTTTAAATAGTTCGTTATTTTTGTTTTATATGCATGAGTGGATTGAAGTGCACCTGTGTTGTGTAATGCCCACAGAGGTCAGAATAGGGCATTGGATTCCCCTGGAACTGGTGTTATAGACAGTTGTTAGGCACCATGTGGGTGCTTGGAGTCAAACCTGGGTCCTCTGCAAGAGTCGCCAGTGCTCTTAGCCTTTGAACCATTCTCCAGCCCCACAGAATATTTAGATTTTGTATAATTTACTGTATTACTAATGGATGTAAAGTTTGAAGAGTTGTGAACAAATATACTGTGAACATTCATTCTAAAATCAACACAAAGATTTATGCTTAAAATATCAATAAAAAATTAGAATAAAAATTTAAAACTTGAGTAATCCATAAAAAGATAATGTTAAAAGACAAAAACCTGATAGAAAGAAAAATTATTTTTATTGGGAAAATTTTAAATGATTTTCATCAATGTTTGAGGAAAAGGTAAGGCATTGCTTTCATGCAACATTGTTGTTGAATAGTATTAAAGCATATATAAGAACAAATTTATGTGCTTCTATGTAAGATCTTACTAAAATTCTTAAAGAGACATTAAGTAAGACTTGATAAACTGTAACTAGATACATTGTGTTTCATGGACTAGAAAACCCAGTATCCAAAGTGCTCCATGTATTCAATGTAATGTGGTTCTAAATTCAACACACACTTTCTGTGTAAATTAAGGAGATTTTATATAGATGTATGAACACTTCAGAATTAGTTATAAGAAATTTAAGAAACAACAAAATTAGAGAAGTCTACGTTTCATGAATTTAAAATACACAATAAATCAGAAGAGCATTATATTGGTGAAAGTGGAAATATGCGCCTCATTGGAACAGACATGAGTGCCCAAGAATAGCCACATGCTGGTGTGTTAATTTTGGACAAATGTTTAAGGCATTTCAATGGGGAAACTTCGGGGTGTTATTATGTTCATATCCACATGGAAGAAGTAAGAAAAAAACCTTATTTCACACCAAATAAAATAATAGCACAAATGTCTCATATATAAAAATATGAAAGATGTAGATTTCTTTTGCTATATGTATGGAAAAATCTTTGTAACATAATAAAACAAATTATAGATCCCAGATTACAATGAAAAAAGAAAAAAAATACAATGTGTGTTTTGTGAAACTTTGTACCATTTGTACTTCAAATAAACAAAGTCAGGAAACTGCAGTGTTTGAAATACACATGTAAGGAATAAGAAATGAAAATCAACAGCTGTTATGACTCCATGAAGGGGGGGTCATCTGATAACAAAGGACAGACTTTATTCCAAAGGCAGAGAGAGAACTTTGGGAGTCAACAAATAACTGATAGAACTTAAAAATCCCAGAGAAGCTAAAGTCATGCAGAAAAATGTAGGAAACAGCCTACTGCTCAGCCTTGGCTCCTCATCAGGGGTAGGGAAAAACAATCCTACACGATACACATGGTAAAGTAGGCAGTCTTGCTGAGGATAGGCACTTTGACAGTACATATTTAGTGTGATTTCATCATGCTTTCATTGAAATCTCAATTTGGCTCTACTAAAAGTATCTTAAGACAAACCTCTTATTCATTATATTCTCTGAAATTTGAACCCCTATGTTTATTGACAGCATTCTTATCCACTAACAATATACTGAAAATTTAATTCAACCAAAGATACATTCCTTTAAATATTATGTCCATGACAATAACCATATCAGCCCTAGAATATAACACAGGTCTTTAAGAAAATAATTTCCTGCCAAGCTGTTTGTTCAGAGCACCCTTAATCTCTTTAATACTGAGTGTAGACGAGGGGTTTCAAAATGGGAAATCACGATCAGATAAAAAACAGATTCTATCTTGTTCTGATCAGTGGGGTACTGGAATTGGGCAGTACATAAATGAATGTGGTGGTCCCATATTACAGTGTGACTGCAGTGAGGTGGGAGGTGCAGGTGGAGAAGGCCTTCTGGTGGTCCTCAGCAGAGGGCATTTTCAGGAGAGTGATGAGTGTGTAAATGTAGGAAACGGCTATGACGAAGAAGGTGAACACAATGATGGAACCAGCAGTAAATGTGGCAAAACTATGTGGATGCTGTTGGCAGAACAGGACAGTTTTATTAATGGAGCAAAGTCACAGAAAAAATGATTGTATTTTAAGTTTATATTTAATTAGATTCAATTCATGCTCTTAATTAAAAGCTTAATTTGAGTCTATTAAAGATTTCCTAATGTGATCCTCTTACTTAGGACATAATCTGAAATTAAACCCCTATACTTATTGGAAAGGTCATTACTGGCAATAATATACCAACAGAATTTATCAATCACAGATGCATTACTTTAAATATTATATCTATGACGTATCAGTGCTATATTAAGCTCTGCAATGTAACATGAGACTTTAAGAAAACATTTTCCTGCTAAGCTGTGCCTTCAGAGCACCCTTAATCTCATTATTCCTCAGACTGTAGATGATGGGGTTCAGCATTGGGACTACCACCATGTAGAACACAGACACCACCTTGTTCTGATCAGTGGAATAGGTGGACTTAGGCATCACATAAATGAATGTGACAGTCCCATAGAACAGAGTGACTGCAGTGAGGTGGGAGGTGCAGGTGGAGAAGGCTTTGCGGCGTCCCTCAGTGGAGCGCATCTTCAGGATGGTGATGAGGATATAGATGTAAGAGATGGCAATGACAAACACTGTCACCACAATGGCGATGCCAACAGAAATGGTATCAAGAACTACATAGACATGGTTATCAGAACAAGAGAGTTCGACTAGAGGAGTAAAATCACAGAAAAAATGATTAATTCTACTTGGTCCACAGAAGACAAATGAAAAGAAGGAAAAAGTATAAGAGGAAGCATTAAGAAACCCACCTAGGTAAGCTACTACAAGCAACTGGTCACACACCTGTGTGGACATCTTTGTTGAGTAAAGCAGTGGGCTACAAATTGCCACAAAGCGGTCATAAGCCATGACAGCCAGTAAGTAGCACTCAACTGTCCCAAAGAAAACAGCCGAACCCAGCTGAATGGCACATCCGATATAGGAGATTGTATTTCTCTCCACCAGGAAATTGACAAGCATATTGGGTGTGACAGAAGATGAGTAGCCAATGTCAGTAGAAGCCAAGTGACTCAGAAAAAAGTACATGGGGTGATGGAGCTGAGGAGAGACTCTGATTAGAAGGATTGTGCTGAGGTTTCCAGATAGGGTCACCAGATAGATGCATAGGATGATGATGAAGAGGATGATTCGAAGGACTGGGTCATCTGTTAAGCCAAGTAAAATGAACTGTGTCACTGCAGTGAGGTTCCCATTCCCCAGGAAAGCCATGGGATAGTGTGTCTGCTGCCAGTACAACGCTGTGATGAAAATATAACATGGTATATTTTGTAAATGAATGATTTAACTTTTATTAATACAACTAAAAGGTCATTGTAAGTAATAGTATTCAAGTACCAGTGATTATTTACTTGTAAAGAGGCATCTATCTGTAATTGTAAAGTTGAGTTTAGCAGAAATGAAATATCTGTAATATAATGAAATGAAACATAATATAAATGTAATGAAATATCATTTATATAATACACTTTTTTATATGTTTTGTTTCCCAAAGTGAACCTTAAGTGGCTTTTAAGCCACATAATAAAAATAGAAGACATTTTTGTGCTTCTCCTGATCTCCATGGATATTGTATGACACAGGTGCACTTAAATACATGCAGGCAATAAACTCATACACATAAAACAAAAATGACAAATAAAATATTTTTAAAATTAGAAGGCATATGAAAATAAAATTAAATGCAGAGAATAATAGTAAAATACATATATATACGTTTTCCCTGTGAAATTCTTGCATAATCGCTAACATATATTTCTTAAATGATAACCATACACCTAAGAATTATATACATACCCAAATATGTAATTTGTAATAAATATATTTTTGAGAAATTATAACATTTAAAATATTTTATTTTAAAATTGTTTATTGATGATTGTGAAAAAGACTATGAAATTGTCATATAGTAAATGGTAAAGTCTCAGAATATGGACTCCAAGATGCCTGATCATCCATTGCTCTAGCACTGGTGTAACAATAAAAAGAACTGTTACCCAAATATGTAATTTGTAATAAATATATTTTTGAGAAATTATAACATTTAAAATATTTTATTTTAAAATTGTTTATTGATGATTGTGAAAAAGACTATGAAATTGTCATATAGTAAATGGTAAAGTCTCAGAATATGGACTCCAAGATGCCTGATCATCCATTGCTCTAGCACTGGTGTAACAATAAAAAGAACTGTCAGAGTGTTAAACACACAGTAATGAGTCAAAAACGGGTTTTTAAAGTTGTCTGACATGTAATGTGTAAAATAATGACTTAGGTCGTTACGTCTTTCACGTTGTATCTCCATTCCATATGACAGTTTCTTATTTAAAATCTCTGTTGATGCAGTAAACAGACAAGGATTTTCAATAAAGTTTTTGATGAGTTTATGTCCTGTAAATTTATTTTCTATTTGGTTGTTTGAAACAGAAAATATTGCTATCCAAACATTTCAAATATCAATCAATCACTTTAAAACCTCATAAATGATGTCAAACATAGAACAAATGTATTGACTCAAAATAATTAAAACAATATCTTCTGTAAAAGTAATTTCTAATTGGGATTTTGTAGCATAAAGTAAGTTATTTTCAGTATAATACACAGCTGCATCGAGTATGCAGAATCTTGTCTTCTAAAGTATTCTTATGTGTAAACGAAGTAAGGCTTCCTGCAAAAAAAATTTTTTTTGCATCATTACATTTTTAAATCTGCTGTTTAAATCGTTAAATAAGAACAAATACTCAAAGATACCCAAAGCTAGTATTTTTGCAGAGTATCAAGTGTGGATAATGCTGAAAGATCATATGAGCTTCTGTCTTGCATGTAGGTAAACAGAAATCCTAGCAATTTGGATTATGTCTGTTTCCTCCCATGAAATCCAATGCAGAAACAGAGCAAGTTTGCCAGTTTGATTAGCTGACAACGTCATTACATCTGCCTTTTTCAGCACTATAACTGTAGGGACAGGTAAGTGAGGACAGTTTTCACAAATTACAAATGAAAACCAGTAGGTCAGATTCGTGAACAAAAGTCAGTTGTTACCTTCTGAAATGAAAAGTCACTCATCTTTCAGTAAAAAGTCAAATCAAATTCATCGTGGTTCTATACCCATCTTTTAAATTTTCCTCTCCTTTGGGGATAAATCTCTGAAGGTGCTAAAATTTCAAAAGTGAATTCAAAAGCACAGTGGAACATCATTATCTTCTGTAGTGGATAGTGAAGAATTTAATGCACAGGCAAAAACAACTAAGTTTCCAAGATTCTGTCAGTTCTCAAGTGGTCAATTTAATTGTTTGTTCTATCTCAGTGTTGATATTAATATGATAAATTTCTTATGGACAAATAAGTCCAAGTTTATTTTGATAATTATTATTAATAAATCACGCTAAACTTTAAGTATAAAATCTAACCCTAGCTTCAATATTCAGGATGTATTTATTGATAAGTATTTTGGTTATCATCTGGAACATAATGTCATTAAATACCCTCAGGGAACATGAAGTGGAAATTAGTATAAAGTTGAATTTTACTAAATTGAATTTTACTAAATAACTAAATATTTTAAGAAATTATATCATGAATATTTCAAAAGTTGCATTTTAAATGTGCAATTATCAGTTCTTGAGTAGTAACCCTAGTTGACGGTAGATCACAAAAGGATAATGGAATCTTCAACCCAAAGATTCTATCTAAATATACTTATCTTGCCAAACCTAATTTTGTAACCCCTGGTTGCCCCAAATTTGATAGAGTGAATTTACAACCACTACAATAATTAGAACCAATACTGCTTCAAACCTCTGCTTTTTATGCCAAACCCATGCAAAATATTTTACATATATTTATTCCTCATATCACTTTTTGAAAGTAGGATCTTTTTTCATGCTCATTTTTCAAATGAGAGAATTAAAACTAAAGAGTTCAAATAAGTGGTGTGGAGCAATTGTGACCCCCAAAGTCAGTGTCCATTCCAGAGTCATGTGCTACACTAAATGTTCTGCTCTTTCTTTGGTTCAGGTGACCTCCTGGGAAGATCTTCACAGCTCACTAAATCCAATGCAAGCATCTCCCACATGTTCAAACAGCTCACTGAAAGCAACTCCAAATAATGGAAGCTGCAAATCAGGGCGTGCTTATTATTACCAATTGTTCAGATGAAAAATTCCAGAATACACTCACTGAGCTTCTCACATGTCCCAGTAGAATTTGGTTGCTGTTGCGCCAGGAGATACCTGGATTATACAACCAGAAAGATGGCCTTTAGGGAAAGGATGGGAATTTATTACTTGAAAGAATGTATAAAGGGTATTTAAAATGGTAAATATCTGGTTTGAAATAAAAATACATCCCTCCTAATTTAAAATGCATAGACATTACAAAATAAAAACTAAACAATAACCTTGTCATATCTTTGTATAAACAGACATGAGACACAGAACAATGATAAGGTAAAAGTGGAGTGAGGAGAGAACACAGGGCCTTAGGGTCTTTATATTTTGTGTAACATATGATATTGCTGATGGCAGTAAAGCTTAAAATTTGGAAACAAATAAAATACTGAGAACAATCATTTAAAATTCATTCAAATATTTTTGCATAAAATATCAATAAAAATATTAGGATCATATTAAAAATTCAAATTATCCATAACAAAGTAGGAAATGTTAAGAGAAAAAACAAAAACCCAAAAAGAAGAATCAGTGTTATTCTCAATGGGCAAGTATTAAGTGATTTCCATTTGTGTTTGGGGAAAGATAAGGCAGTCCACCCTCACTGCAGACTGCCTTATCTTTTCCCCAAACATAATGTTCATTCAACATTATAGTGGACTACAAGATCGTCAAATACATTTATGAGGCATAATGGAAAATGGAAAAGAAGAAGAAGCCAAATTCCTTGTATTTATGTGTCTTTCTTGCACTAAATTGTAATAAATCTATAAAAATCCTTAATTTATTACTATATCACGATAGAAAAATAAAAAATATGAAATCAATTTTAGTTTTATAGACTGGAAATTGTTAACACAGAAACAGTACTAAAACCTGTATAAAAATAAATTCATGTATATCTATGTAAATTCTCTTTCCTAATACTTTTAAGAGAAATTAAACAAAAATTGATTAAATGGAAATAAATATGCCTGTTCATAGACTAGTAAACCCAGTATCACTGACATGCCAATTCTCCAAAAATGGATCTATCCCTTCATTGCACTGCAGATTTAAATTCTGCATGTACTCGGTGTAAATTAACAAGATGATTTATACAGATACATGAATTATCCAGAATTGGTAATAAGACATTTATAGTAAACAAATGAGTGAATTTTGCCCTGTATGACTTTAAGACATCCCAAAGCTCCAAAGTCAACAGGACAGAATTATATTGGTAAAAATAAAGAAATGGAACATAAATGACAGTTCAAAATGAATCCACAAATGTATTAGAAATTGTACTGGCCTATTAAGAGGGAAAACAGTTTTTAGTGTGTGTCATGTGATTGAGTTCGTATTCACGTAGAAGTAAACACAAATCCTTAACTCATACCAATCACAAAAATTAACTCAAATGCCTCATAGAGAAAAACATCAAAGAGTTGTGGAGCTCGTTTAGTGGTTAAAATGCTTTCCACAGAGGAGCTGAGAACAAGAATTTCGATCCCAAAACCACATAAATGCTACATGAGCAAGATGGTCTGCTCATAATTCCAGTGGACAAAGACTGAGACAAACACTGAGACAGTGGCTGCTCTTCCACAGGAACTGTGTCCTGTTTCCAGCACCCACATGGCAGCTAACAACCATTCATAATACCAGTTCCAGAAGATCTGATGCCTTTTCCTGGTTTCTTCTGGTTTTCATGCATGTGTAATTTTAAATACATGAAGGCCAAACACACACATAAAGTAAAAATAAAATAAATTTTTAAAAACTGAAAGTATTTAAAGAGCCAGTCATACAGAGGTCAGCTATGGACACATGAGAATTTTAGGCAGCAGAAGCTCATTCCATGAAAGGGTCAGTGATAAGTAGTCACACTGTGTGTCAAGAGGAAAGCACAATTTTAAATAGGCTGTGATAAAACTAAGACTTCCAGGCCCTTCTCCTGCAACAGCTCAGCCTCCAGACATGCTTCCCTGCAACTACGAGGGAGTTTGTGATCACTGGGAAAAGATCACTCAGACTGAAAACACTCCTGAATCAGCCAAAT